CACACTCGATCTGACTCCTAGATAAAATAGCCTCAATAACTTTCTTCTTATCATCACTTAGCCTCTCTTCGCTATGCTCTTTACAGGATTCCTCCACATTAAACACCATAATATTGTTAGCTCTTCGAGTACGATCATTAAATTCAGATAACATCTTTTCCAAATCAACGTTATCTTTATTTAACCCAATTGAGGCCTCAAGACTGTCCACTCGCTCCGTTAATACCCTATTCTGTTGCTTAAGCTCACTATTTTCCTGTAGAATCTGATCCATTTTAGAGGTTATGTTATCCAGTTTGGATTCCAGAAGGTTTTTTAAATCATCTTTAATACCATTTTGGAATGGTATTAATAATTTTTCAAGTACGTTTTTAAGCATTACTTCATCTACAGCCCTATTTCCATCAGAAACCGATACACCCGATGCTCCAACCTCACTTCCGCAGGCATGACAGCTCCACTCCAAACCATTTTTGATATCAGATGCCAATTTATTAAATTCCTCAGTCGTAAGAGAAGTACATTTGCTATGTACCCACTCAAGACATTTGCAACAACGCACACTTGGTTGTGTTTTTGCAATATTTGCAGCACAAACTTTACACCTGTAAACAGCCGGCGCCATTTTTTTTTTAGTTTTTATTTCATAGAAAACTGGAAGATGGTCCGAGTCCAGCTCATGAGCTACCCTCGGAACACCCACCAGTTCAACATTTTTAACAATTGCAAAATCCAGCGTTGAGGGATTGGACTGGTTAAACGGGTAGTGTGTGTGTTCGTTTGAAAAGGATAAAATACAATCACTTGAATCTATAAAGTCTAATAAAACCGTGCCATTTCTATTGCCCCTACGGCAATTCCACAGATTGTTTGTGGCATTAAAGTCACCAAACATTATGGCTTTGTCATACCTATCGAAGAAAGGGGTAAGGTCTATAATGCCAAAATTGTTAAGCGGAGAATTATAAGCCCCAATAATATGGATGTTATTAATTTTTATGATGATATGTTCTAATGTGGAAATTTTTTGTGTGAGTCGTGTATGTGGAATGTGTGTTTTTATTAAAATTGCCACCCCTCCGCTCCTATGAGCATTGGGGCGGTCTTGTCTATGGGTAATGTAGCCTTTAATTTTGAATTTTTCGGAAATTTTTAATTTTGTTTCAAGAATAATCAAGACATCAATTTGGTGGAAATTTAGAAAGTGGATTAAGGTTGAAATTTTATTATTTATGGAATTACAATTCCATAAAGTTATATTTAATTTATTGAAATTTTGTGTAATTTAAATGCCGTAATTGCTTATGATGTTTGTTATAAAATCGTAAAATACCACAAACTTATCTGCTTTAGTGTGAGCTGTTTTCATTTGATTACACAATTCCTTGACAGCCCTTAATATACCTTGCATATTGCATAGTCCGTTGAGGGTGGCGAACTCAGTTCGGAACTGCAAAATCAACTCGCCAAATGTGTTCCTGGGATCAGGCACATTTGCATTATTGTTGGTGGCATTATCCAAGTGTATAAATGGGTTTGGGTTTTGTGTTTCTTCTTGACGTACCTTCTTTAGGTTTCTGGCCTCTTCTAGTCTTTGGGCCCATTTGTCCACCGTATGCGGCGGAGCAGGAACAAATCTTTTTGAAGCAACATTTTTCTTTCTTCGATTTTCTTCACTTTGTATTTATAAACATCGCATGTCATCGAGCAGGCTGTGTGTTGACCATTACAGTTTACACAAAGAGCAGGTGTGAGAAAATTCTGAGTCGGACAGCATCCTCAAATTGACTGGAAGGAACCAACCATGAAGTGGACAGTATCAATAGACGTCTACAAATATTGAGAGAAAAAGTTTAAAATAGTTATTTTTGTATTTTGTTTTGTTTTTATTTACGAGAAATATGCTCTATGTTTTGTTAAGTTAAATTTTAAAAGATCTAAAAAAAGTTTTATTTTTGAATTAATCATGTGACCTGGACTACGGAAAGCTACCTATGGTTAGAAATCAAGTTTTCGAGAAAACAGCTGTTAAAGATAGCAAGTACTGTCCGTGCGTCGCGTTTGTATTTGCGCTTCTACCTCTTCTTTTTTCGTCTTACCCTTGGCTCTCCACCTCTCTTTAGACTTCCATTATACAGTGGTGCTTTTACAATTAATATTTTTGTACCTTATTCAAGTGATTTCCCCTAAATAGCTAATTTTGTGAACGTTGAAAAAGTTGGAATAATACGTGCTGTTTTTCTTATCATTGTATTTTCGAGATCGTGGTTTTTCGTTGTTATGCAGCTAATTTAAAATTGTTTTAATTTGTGAAAGTGCATAATGGATTTAGAAAAAGAATTTAAAGCAGTGAAGAAACAATGTTTTGCGGATTGTGATGAAGATTACGAAGATCAAGGTGGAGGTGCAGGTGTTAGTAACATAGAAGATGACGTTGTACCAGATTCGTCTTTCGATATGTCTCTTCAGGATATTGACGAAAATAAATGATCAAAGCAATTCTTGATCTATTTATAACTTTTTTCGCGATTTTTATAATTCATGTTGAACTTTAAGGATGATTTCCAGCAAAAGTTTGAAACTTAGGAGTCTGCGGTATGTTCCATTAAAAAATACGTTAATGTTTTTATCAATTTCGATCTACAAAACAAAAATTGATTCTTCCGACCATAGGTAACTTTCTATAGTCCAGGTCACATATAATATGAATTATGCTATATGTATTTATTTTTGTTTTTATGGTCTGTTATTAAAGCTGCAAAGTATAAATTCTATATTTATTTTTTTCCTATTTGCCTGAATATCAATATCAATTTTTGACATCTCCACAGTCTATGGAAAAAACTTGAGAAAGTTCTGAAAAACCTGGAAAAGTCAGGGAATTTTATACGAATTCAATAGTATGAACCCTACATCAACTTTGACAGTGAATACTTCGGAGAGGTATTGAAAAACTTAATCCATTGAGAAGTATTCAGCACGTTGAATTACCTATACCGGATTTCTATTTATCACAAAATATTCAATGACTATGAAGGTAAAAACATCCACAACGTATAAGAGCAGCGAAGTATTCGGACACATAGCTGCGAATATAAAAGGTCAAATCTTGAATAGAACCATAAATTAAATTAAACTTGAATACGGCCAATATTTTTTCATTTGCAGCGTACAAATGTTGATGCAAATGGTATTTGTAGCTTTTAAATTTATGTTTGTGAAGAATTTTCTCTACAGACACATGGCTAATTCCTGCCGCAATACCTATTTCTCGAGTTGACGAAGACGGGTTGACTTCCACATAGGCCAACACATCAATTTCAGTATCTTCACTTATAATAATTTTTTCAGCTTCATCGTCTGGCTGTCGACGAAACTTTTCTTCCACTTTTGCAAAATACCTTCTATCTGGATGATTTAAAATTCCTGGATAACGTCTTTCGTATAGGGCAGCTGCTGCTGTTGCATTTCTTTGACATTCTCCAAATATGAGAAGCATATTGACTTGTTCGCTTTGTGTATACCAAATTCTACCATCCATATTTTTCAATATTTGTAATAATTATTACATACAAAAGGGCACCTTTAATATTGCTAATCAATGACAGAAAGTAGCTTTTCATTTGTTTTTATTTATTTGTCATAGCAACTAATAAAATATCTGTTGTTTTTGTTGCGCATTTTAAATTTTTCCGCAACTTTGTTTTATTTAATAAACATGTCATGTTGGTCTAACACTGCTACTAAACTCATCGTTCGTTTCGTCATAAAAGGCACTATTTTATGACATTTTGCAACTAATATAAAGCCATTGAAAAAAAAAAACGAACTTTGACAAGTTTAGACTGCTGGGAATAGCTGAATAACAACTTTCTAAGGCAAGTTCCATTTTTCAGGCATTGTGTGAATCCATTAGAAGAAAATAAGATAGTTCATAGCACTCTAGATTGATCTTTATGACGTCAAAAGGCCAATTCGAGAATTCTGTCTGACTCAGAATTTCCTCAGGATTCCAAATATGTAAAAATATATAGGGCGTTCCATTTAAAAATCGAAAGTTGATATCATTTCTGGCGAAACCGGAAGTTGAAAAAATTTTTGTACTCTTTAAGTGGCATTTTATATCCTTATTAACCATGCTAAATTTCTTGAGTCTATCTTTATAAATAAAAAAGTTACAGGGGTGCGCCTATTCTCAGATACACCCGGTATATACATATATATCGAATATATATATTGTTAATTGTCAAAAAAACAAAAAAATGTTAACTTTTAAAATCGCCCTGTATAATATTTTTTTCAACATATACCTAGTACCAACATGTCATGAAACCTATAAACTTCAAAATTGGATGGAATTGCTACTTCCCCTAATAACACTGTAGGTAAATTTTTAACTTTTGAAATATCACAGCTAAACGCTCGGACACGTAAACATAATTTTTGGTCGTAGATTCCAAATCCGTGATCGGTTTAGCTGTAGGTATCAGGTCTAAAAAAGTTTTTTCCTATTGGAAATCCGATCCGGGGACACACTGTATACTGGTATATTATAATTTGTAAAATAATATATTTCACCTCTTGTGCCAACATTTGTATGCTTTTTATTTCATTTAATATAATATCCTCCATTATACTCAATAAAAAAAAATCAGCGAAAAAACATTTCAAATTTTCTAAATTATCTAAGAAAAACCCTTGGAGATACGTGTTTGTTCAATCAATTAACTTCAAATTTTTCAAGAATTTGTTATTTTTTAATTTGTGTGGGTCCAGCCAAATTTATTTTTTTTTAACTTATACAGGGTGTTTACAATATCTTTGAATTTTGACCTGATACAGCTAAACCAAGCACGGATTTGTAATCTACGACCAAAAATTAAGTTTACGTGTCCGAGCGTTTAGCTGTGATATTTTCACCTCCCTACAGTGTAATATGGCAAATAATACAAACTTATATTTTATGGGCCTGCTTTATATATTATGTTTAATTATTTTAGATTTCAAAAATCCTGGCATATAACCAATAACGGTTCAGATCCGTGGCCGGCGGGCTGTTATGCCGAAATGGCCACAGGTTCGAACGAAACGGCGAAAAGGACAGCGGTGCCGAGCCTGCAACCGGGCGAGAAAACCATTCTGACGGTGACTATGGAAAGTCCGGCTACACCGGGCGTCTATCAGAGCAAGTGGAGGCTTTGCACGCCAAACGGAAGCTATTTTGGAGGTAAGGATATGACACCAAACAAACAAACCAAGATTATGAAATAAGGCTAATTTTAAAAAGCATAATTTTGAGAAAGAGCCAAATAATGAAAATGCTCGACTGTAACTGCTTAAACTAAAATAATTTAATAATAATTTAACAGTATTTAATTAGGAATAACATAAACATAAAAAAACAAAAAATGCCCAACTAATTTTAAGTTTTATTCTATGTTGACACATTTTGACCTAGAGTGTGATATAACAGGATCTGATGATACTAAATAAATCTTTCGTTGTTACTGTCTTTTTTACCTCAATGTTCTTGAAAATTTCGTGACACGGTTTGGGAACTTTCTTCAGTGACATTGCCAACAATTACTGCTGATTTTTACTTTCCATGTTATTGTATGCTTCTTTGAACAACAATATACAGTTACAGCTTAGTGGTAACACATTCACTAAAACTTTTATTTTAACGTTTATTCTTAAAGGATAATTTCGTTGTTTCCAACAATAAGTGAAGTTTATTTAAAGAATTAAAATGGTCACTTGGTGGTTACGTAACGTTTTACTAGGGGGAGGGGTCACTTTGTGGTTACGTAACGTTTTACTAGAGGGAGGGGGGTACAGAGAAACGTAATACTTGAACGCTCCCTAATTCGGTAATTCCCCTATAATTTGCGGTATACCTAAAGTGACCAGATTCTGTCAAAATATGGGGACATTTTGTATGAATTTGCCTTAATTACAAAAGTTAGTCAAAGCTCAAAATCTCTAAAAATATCAATCTTAGAAATTCGGTTTAAATACCTTTTTTTTTAGAAAATTTAATTTTATATAAATTTGTCAGCAAAAAAACCAATTTTTTTTACAAAAATAAGTTTAGGAGTCCGAGTGTGAGTTCAGTCACTCTACAATAGGCACTTTTCTAGATTGTTTAGTTCTTAGCAAAATGTTTTTTAAATAAAACAGAAGCATAATATGTTATAGAAAAAAAATCCAAGTGTTTTTTTAATGGGAAATCTTTCGACGCTAAGCGAAAGTACTTAATATTGATATTAAGAGCCAAAACTTACAGGGTATTATTTTTTTAACTGTAACAACCAAATTTATGTTTCACTTTAAAGAAGTAAACGGCGCCACTCGTCTTTTTACAAATATGGTTTAATTACCAGCGTCACTGTAAAATCATATTTTGATATTGATTAATATTTTAACCTTTAATTTCTTTTTTGTTTATTTCAGATGATTTGTGGTCTTTTATGTATGTGACGGATAAGTGTACGGTTAGTTTAACGGAACAATTATCCCAATTAAGTGAATTAGGTGCTACACAACCAATGATGTCCCCTCAAAATCCCTTTATGCCATCAAGATCTCAAGTGGGTCCCAGTCAGGTAAATATTATTTGCACAAGTTTAATTTGTTCGATTTATTGTTGCTTATTTCAGGAAAATTTCTCACCAGACGGTCCTGATTCGGCAATGTGTTAATTTAATATTAGTGCCAACAATAAAACACCAAAATCAATTATGAACTGAGCAAGAATTATCCTTACTTGTATATAGTGTACATAAAGTTATATACACCAATTTTAAGCATAGACTTAATTTAATTTCATAAAAATTTTAAATCAAGCAGATACTTTAGGTGAAATTGTTAAATTTCGAATCGTTTTATCATATCAAATTGTTTTCCTTAAAATAACTAATTAATGAAAGGATCAGTCAACCTAAAAATATTTGGCATTTTTTGTTTTGTCGTATTATCTAAATTCTTATTAGATAAAATTGATCTTTATTTTAATAATTAGTTTATTTATTATTTGATAATTAAATATTAAAAAATTTAATTTTAAAATTCTGACAGTGTACTATACTATAAATATATATTAATTAATTTTATCGATGGATAATGAAAACCATAATAAAGAAAAACATACATAATAATCAAAGGTCTAAGTTGTGTCATAGAATTTAGTTCATTCTTTAGGATTGAAAAGTATAAACTATTAAATGTCATTTAAATAAAGACTTGAAAATATAGTTTTTATTAGGGTTTTTCCCATCATATTATTAATTGTGGTTTTTTATAATAGATTGGGTGTAAGTAGATTTTGTCGTAAAATTTTATAATTTTACTGTAGTTTTTTGAGATATATACTATTTTACATTTGAATCCAGTCTTTTATAAAAAATATTCAATAATTTACAAAGTAATATCCTCAAAGTGTAGAAGACTAATTTAAACATTGTTTATGGATTTTCTTTAAAATGCAGTTTTTATAATACATAATATTATAATATTAATACTTAAATACCAACATAATATATAAATAAACACTGATCGGCAAAATTAACGCATCACTTAAAATACGACGATTTCCGTGTTATGTTTTAAATCGATCAACCACTGACTGCGTAGCGTAGAAGGGTTGTCTGCCAAATTAAGGAGTTGGCTATGGGCTATCTGCCGACTCCTAAATTTGGCAGATAACCCTTCTACGCTATGCAGTCAATGGTTGATGGATTTAAAACATAACGATAATTTTGCCGGTCAGTGTATATAATATATTATCAATATTTGAAAATATATGTAATAATATTATATACAAGGGTCGTTCCACGCCAGATCGATTTCGATTTATCTAGAATTTTTTTTATATTTTTGTACCCCACCAAAAATATATCTCAGATCTATTTCAAATTTTACCAACCAATAAATAACGTTTTTTCAATGAAAAAAAAATAATAAAAATCGACCCACTCTGGATTTAGTAGCATTATTCGCAGAATAAATTAATGTTTTTTACGAAAAAAAAAGCAAACAGCGAAACTGCAAAATTCTATCACCTTATTTTTCCTTAAAAGTACATTAAAGAACAAAACGTCCCATTTTGTCAATTTTTAAAAAAGTTAACGTTTTAAAAAAGTCATGGTCCCATTTAGTCAATTTTTAAAAATGATATTGGGAGGTGTTACATTTTGAAAAATTCGTAACTTTCTTTGTCTGGGTAAAAAAAAATGAAAATTTTTTGAGAATTTTTGGTGTAGAAAAGGATAAAAAAATAATCAGCCTAATAGGGTTCAAAAGTCGTCGATTTTGCGTGGAATTCCCCATTTGTATTATCTTATATTTCATATTATGTAATACAAAACGTCGTATCAAACAATTGAGGGCTACGACATTTTTACTTAAAACGGTATAAAAATCGCTATAAAAACCTAACAGTGTTTAAATTTGTTTTTTATAATAAAACTCTCCTTAAAAGTTACGAATTAAAATCACTAATATATTTAATCTTTATAAACAAATATTATGTTTTGACTTGGTATTGAACTTTATACATAATTTAATATTGTGTTCACTTTTATAGTTATTTAATTTTTAGCCTTATACAAAAAACTATTATTATTATTTCATAATATTTTTTAATAATTCTTTGAATCTTAAACAAAAATATGTTTGACAATAAATCATTAAATATACCCTATAAAAGTGAATTAAGGTAATTTAAAATTTACATTAAAAACACTCATATGTAACTTTCATTCATTCCTTTATTGCATTTTTAAAAATTTAAAGGAAGGTTAGGTGGGAGATTTAAATTAGCATTTTAAAAAATATGAACTAATTAAAATTGTATGAAAATGTGTATATGTGTGGGATATTATAGTTTTTAAAATTAAAAAAAAACCTTTACTTACATTGAATTTTTAAATTTACCTATAAAACTGTTCCGCCATAAATGCATATTGGCAAAATTGTATAGTCTGATTTAAGTTAAATATTATTTTTAACTTTTACTATTTCAAAAAATATTTTTTACTATAGATGTAAGGATATGCTTTTATATTTTTTTTAAATTAAGATTTACATTTAAAAAATATGTAAATTCTTATACTTACAACTTGTAAGTTACAAGCTATATAGTTAAAAATATTTTTTGGTAGCCAAGCTATCTATTTTAGCTTAAATACAGAAGTTGAAGCTCTTAAAATTTTCGGAAATTACTTATCACATTTTCTTTAGTATGTTGAAGAGCACACAGGAAGACATGACAATTTGTGGAAATCAGTACCATAGTATATGATCCTTAAATATGATCTATACTTTCAAAAGTCCACAGTCCAGCCAACCCAAACCAAAAAGTCGATGTTATTATGACAAGCCAACAGTTATAAAATTGTAAAAATGCTGTTTTCTTTATTACTTTTTATTTTATTTCTACAATGTATTAAAACTGTCGACATAACAACCCTTCTTAGTAAAAATGAAACTACAGAATGGTATAAAAATGAAACTTATTTAAGTGAGTCGCCGAATTTCTACTGCACCGTATGTTGCTTGAACATATCAACAAGAACTATAGGAAAACATTGCGGACACCATACGATGTGCATCTTTCCTGTAAAAAATTAATTTTTTAATATTCCCATCATAAAAATATTTTTCAGGATGACAAAATTGGTCCAGCCTGTAAAGGGTTTATTAACATTGAATTTACACATATTGAACAAGTTTCTATATTGGATATGCACAATACCATAAGGAATATGGTGGCAATGGGTCTGGAAACACGCGGAAAAACAGGACCCTTACCCCCTTCATCTAACATGAGAACTCTTGACTGGAACAATGAATTGGAACTTATTGCTAAACGTTGGGTTATGCAGTGTGTATTTGCTCATGATGTTTGCAGAGACACTGGTATTTTTATTTTTTTTTCAGCAATTTTATGCAACATTTTAATGGGATTTTTTTTCCCACAAACCTAAAATGGATTTTTTCAGGAAAGTCTAATACTTAATTTAAATTAATTAGTTTATAGTTGTTTTAACTTGTTAGTACCTAAAAACCTTGGCAGGGTGTTACACGGTCACCGAATAATATACAGGGATGATACCCCCTGGAAAACTTTTTAACTACAAATTCCTTAAGGAATTCTAATAAGATTTTGTCTTATTAAACAAGATATAGCATTTCTAAAAAAGAAAATCTTGAATTTTTTTTTATTTATAAAATTAATTAAGTTTTTAGTAAGTCAATCACAGAACACCAATTTCATGAAGCATTTTTGAGAGTGTGTTTACGCGCTCTTATTATTTGTAAGGCTTCCCTACTAAATATTATGGTGGCAAACAGGGCCGCCGAGAGGGGGGGCAACATTGCCCCAGGCCCCCAACGTCAGGGGTCCCTGAATTTAAAAATAATTCAAAAATATAGCATCATTCTAAAAATATTTTAATGAAACCCACAATAACTGGATAAATGTAACTAAACAAATATTAGAAATATTCCCCAATACCAAAACAAAACAAAAAGTGCTTAAAGAACTTTTCGACAACGATGTTAGCATCTTCAAAAGCGAAGTGTAACTGCCATGGAAGTTACACTTCGATACACTGCTTTAAGCACTTTGTGTTTTGTTTTGATGTTGGGTAATATTTCTAATATTTGTTTAACATATCGCAAAGTTCTCATTTTTCAAGTAAATGTAACCGAGTTCAAAATAGAAATTTTCCTCTAAAAGGAAAAATAATTAAGTGAAATTATAAAGATGGATTTTTAAGTTACCCGGACAGATTGGTTTTTGTGTGATATAAACTGCGCACCACTCAATGTGTCGCGACCAAAAAGTTCGTCCTTTTTCAAAACGACATAACTTTTTTGTTTCTTGAACGATTTTCTTCTGGTCTGTGATGTCTGCTAACCCCATCCTCTGGCAATTCATGCTATAGATATTAAGCATACGGTTCTTCAAGTAAATTTCCTACAGGGTGATATGTAAAACGGTGAAAAATTTCAATAATTTCATCCGAGCCCCGTTTGCAAAACAATAATTTTTTTTTCGTTTTTACTTTGAAATAATGTAGTATTATGTGTTACTTTGAAACGTTTTTCAAATTTTTCGAATTGGAATCTTAGCAACGAAAATATGATTTTTTTTCCAAAAGAGTACATTTAAGGCTTTTTGGTAGGCAATATATTCAGTCTTTTTAAGAACAAGAAAATAAGATTGTAAAAGATTGTTCCTTGAATAATTCTGAACAAGCAACAAGCAACAAACTTCGATTATTTTCAGAGGGGCCTAAGCAAAGACCACTTTTTCAAAATGACATTTTGGTGAAAATTTTCGAAAACTAAACCTGAACCGATATTTACGTTCGTGACATGTTTTTTTTATAATTTTGACCTCCTGATTGTGATTCAGTTGTCAAATTTAAGTTTCAGATAAAACCAAAATCATCAAGAATAAAAATCCCTGTTGTTAAATGTCTTAATAAAATCCGATTGCTGTCGTATTTCTTGCATATTTATGATAAAAATGCCATTCGGGGATTCATTTTTTGGGCGAAATTACTGCAATTTGTTTGAGTGGTTAGGATAATGTTACATAACTTACATTTACATTGCGCAGTAGTGATAACATCATTGATAAGTACCTACCTAATTTATAATAAAGTTAAATAAAAATATTTTTGTTCATTTTTGAAAATTGTATGCAAATAATCATAATCAAAACTTCAACATTCAACAGAAAAATGTAACAAATAACAATAATACCTTTCAATATTTCGTTTGGCCCTCCCCTAAGCCGTAATAATTCGTTAACCCTCCTGGGCATTCCCTCGACCAAGTTCCTTAGAAATTTCTGGGATACCCCATTCTTCCTGAATAGCATTTACCAATTCATCCAAATTTTCCATGCCTCCTTCCCTCTCTTTCATCTTCAATTTTATCCTGCTCCACACATGCTCAATAGGATTCATATCAGGAGACAAAGGTGGCCCATTCATTCTCTTAATATGG